CGTGCTCCTGGGGGATTCGGGAACCTGCAGCCAGGATATTTAGGCAGCACAGAARGATCCACAGGAGCAGCTTCCTCGGGCGGAGAGGAGCCTCAAAATTCGGGATCTGATGGGTTTTCCCTGTTCCCGCTCCCCGGAGCCGCTCGGCTCCAGCTGGTGCGGAGACAGGAGCATCCCTTCTCTGTCCCCGGGGAGGGATCTTCGCCGAGCCAAAACCGCCGCGAGCCCCCAGAAACGATGGCGCAATTAGCAAAGTAATTAAACCGCGCGGATCCTGCCCCGCTAATGTCAACGGCGCGGGTCCCGCTTTAATTAAACTTCCCCCGGACACGCGGAGAGAGCGGCGGAGAGGTTCTGTAATCCCGGGAAATGAATCTCCCGCGGGGTCGGGAACATCCGTCCATCCCAAGGGATTTGGGGCGGCTCCGGGTGMGCCAAAGGTTTTGGGGTTTTGTCCCTGGGTGAGTCCCATCCCGGGGATGGGGCTGCACGTGGTGGGGGCATCCCAAGGGATGTGCCGGGGTGGGATTGGGGAAAAGGGTCCCTGGCTGCTGTTCCAGGCTGAGAGAGAACCCAAGGCATGAGGAAATGATGGAAATGTGGAAAAAGGGACGGGGCCGACCTCAGCGGAGGATAATTCCCATTTTTCACTCTCCTTTGATCCCCGCTCTCTCTGTTGCGTGATGCTCTATGAGGTTTGTGGGTTTTGTAAAAGAGTTTCAAGGAATTTTAGGGCACAGCTGGGAGTACCAAGAATCCCTTTGGGGACATCAGGGCGCAGGTCCCCAGCTCTGTCTGCTCCTCACAGGCGGCTCGAGCAGCCTCACCAGGCCCAATTAAAATGCAAATTTGTCCCTGCCTGCTGGGAACAGATAGCGAGGCACCAGCCAGGGGAAAGGCAGCGGGAATAAACGCGRGGAGCGCGGGGACTGCTCCTTTTTTTGCTATTTTCCCTTTTTTTTTTCCTTTCTGCTACTTTTTTTTGTTTAGTTGGGGATTGTTTAATGGGATCTGAAGCAATAAAGGGGGAAGGTGCTGGGTTTGGGGTGGGTTTGCGGYTTGGGGTGGGTTTGGTGCGCAAGCTGCACCACCATCAGCTCCCTGGGGCCTTTTAAATACTATTATTATTATTATTATTATTATTATTATTATTATTATTATTATTA